GTTACGTGCCTTTCTGAAAAAAAAAACAAGCGAAGGATATACTGCAAAGAAGTCTAAAGTTTTCACTAAAGACGGGTTTGATAAATTTTTGTTCGAAGCGCCAGATAAGTTGTATTTAGGAATAAAGGTAAAAACATTATATTGCAAAGCATGTAGTATACTCTACTAAATTATAAAAATATTTCAGATTATTTTGTTAATTGGGGTTACCGGCGCCTGTCGATGCGACGAAATGGTAAAAACTAAGACTGTGGACATTGAGGATGAAGAAAATGTAATAATTATCAAAATCCCAGACAGAAAAACACGACAAATTAGATCTTTTACGATAATTGGTCTAAACTACATTAAACTGTATAAAAAGTATGCATCACTGCGGCCTGAAAATTTCATAGAAAACCGATTTTTTATCAAGTACCAAAATGGAAAGTGTTACCGAAGCGTCATGGGAATACATTCGATCAGCGCAGTAGCCCAAAAAGTAACTAGTTATTTAAATTTAAACGATGCAAGCGCATACACGGGTCACTCTTTAAGACGAACTTCAGCAACACTTTTAATTAATCGTATAATTTGATTCGATTTGTGATTTAAATCTTGTAGCATTGATGTTAGTTCATGGATATCTGTGCTTATTAGTACTATGTCGTCTGCAAAACGCAAATGGTTAAGATATACTCCATCTATTTTTAATCCCTTTTCGGCCCAATTTTTGTTTTTTGAAAACATTTTCTAATGCCAAAGTAAATAACTTGGGTGAGATGGTGTCACCCTGTCTCACACCTTTGCCAAGGTCTATTTTTATAGTTTCCAGATCATCATCTATTTTTATGTGAAAAGTAGCATCATCGTATATATTCTTAAGGAGGGCAGCATATCTTGAATCTACTCTGGCATCGTCCAATGCTGTTAAGAAAGCCCATTTCTCGATACTGTCGAATGCTTTGTGATAATTGACAAATGCCAGATGTAGTGGTATGTTGTACTCTATTGTTTTTTCAATAACTGTCCGGATTGTTTTCAAGTGATCGATAGTGCTAAAACCCTTACGAAAGCCTGCTTGCTTCACTGGTTGGTATGCATCTAGTTTAGCTGTCAATCTATTTGTTATTATTCGGGTTAGTAGTTTATAAAGGGGTGACAATAAGCTTATTGGTCAGTAGTTTTCTATATTTGCGGCGTCCCCTTTTTTATGGAGTTGAATGACTTCCGCATTTTTTCATGCCTTCGGTATTTGTCTTTCCAATAGGCATTTATTCAATAATGCTCTTATTGCCTCTTTTAATGCAGTGTCTCCCATTTTTAGCATCTCTTGAATATTACTATAAATAAAAATGAATTTTAATTGTTGTTAATGACATTTGTGTTGTTACTTTGTGACATGTTTCATATTGTTGCCATGACAACATTTTTCCCTCCGCCGTAAAGAAATGGGAAAAAAACTGCTGCCGGCGGAGACATCAAACTTTGACAGGAACAAGTTAGATAAGTAATGTCATCATTATTTAACGTTTGAAGAAAAAATATTTTTTTATTAGAACTTATTTATGTTTGCCTCGTAATCTATAAATATACGTGATGTTATTATATCTTCTTCTAAACTAGACTTTTATTTCTAACATCGCCTAGTTACTTTTCCATCAAATCTTGATTTCCATTTCTAAAATGCGCCTTCGGTTAACTTAAGTAGTACTTAGCAAGTCTAAGATACTACTTGCTTTACAAAGATATGAGATGTAAATGGGGGCACCCAAGCATCTGTAGGTGATCTAAATAATTGAAGATGAAAGTTAAATACGTAATAACACTTATTTATGTTCTACAACTTAATCAATTAAATGTATGGTATGAACTATAAGGCAGCTATGTAATAAATTGCAGACTAATCGGAAAATGCCTTTTAAATAAACCCGAAGTAAAATACTATTCTTAATATCTCGTTTATTTCAAAATACACAGACTTCTTCTCTTAAATTTAAAATATGTAGCATGTTACTGATATTATTTTTATTATGTTGATACAGGGTGATTCTTTATACTCCAATTAGACGTTTTAAAATCTTAATAAATACCGTAATTTCGGGTGACTTTGACTCACTTTCGAAGTTCAAATGTAGATTTCAGTATTTTGAATATATGTATAAAGTATATTTCTTTATTTATTTGTATTTGAGTTTTTTACAAAAATTACACTAAAACAGAAAGCTTACTTTATTATAAAAAAAGTAAATATGTGGTGTGCAAAGTCACCTGCTAGTGTCGGGTGACTTTGTCTCAAGCTACATTTTACATTTATTCCATGTGATTATTATTGTTTGGTCTAAAGTCACCCTACAAGATGAATCAGAAACAAACATTTTGTTATGTATAAAAAATATTTATTTAAATTTCAAACAAAAAAAATTAGAACTAACATAAAACTCTACATGGGGCCCTAAGTTCTCATAATTTCTTAACAAAAAATGAGAAATAAAACGATTTACAAGTTTTTTTTTTAATCCGAAAAAAAATATCGGTTCTCTCTGGCTCTGTGAAATCAATATTACCCAAGTGGTAGGAATTTCTTACGGCGACTTTGGGTCATTGCCATAAACTTCTTTCAGCCAGTACCATTACTTATTTATTTAGCGTATGGACTTTCACAGTACGATAAATATACAAATACAATAATATATACATTTATATTAAATATATTATTCAAACGCTAAAGATAGAATGAATGACACTAAATATTAATGTCCAATTTACATAGCCATTCAATTGCTTCTGGGAAACATTCCGCAAAGTCGTGGAGGTTTCCACGGTAGGCACGATTCAAGCAGTCTGTAACACAATTGCTTATGGTCTGTCTAGATCGTCTGCAATCGCACTGTGGACTTTCTGCACGACCCCACCTGAACAGCGAATCAGCCCATTTACCATGTCCGGTACGTATACGATTAAGCCTTGCCCAAGTGAACCGGGGCAGATTTGATCCGATGAAACCCTGAGTTGGGGTGGATATCTTAATATAGTCCGATTCTACTGTAGGCATCCATCTTGTTGTCCATTGCCTATGTATATCATAGGAATTACCAATTTTTCGGGTAGATCGTATTGGAGGATTTCTAGATCTCAGTCGCTGGTGCTCTTTTGAGATATCTGGGATATCTTGATGTATTGGTAATTGTACGTTGGCTACAATTTTCTGGTACTCTCTCACTAATGCTGTTGTACGGCGTAGATCTGGTGGAGCAATATTGCTCAGAGCAGGCAGCCATCTCACTGGCGTTGGTTTTATTGTTCCAGTGGTTATTCTCATGGTTTGGTTAAGTTGGACATCGATTTTGCTTGTATGTGCACTATTTAGCCATACTGGTGCACAATATTCTGCCACTGAAAAAACCAAAGCTAGAGCAGAGGTCCGAAGAGTATCTGCAGAAGCACTCCAAGTTGTTCCAGCAAGTTTTGATATTAAGTTATTTCTTGTTCTTAGTTTACCGGCTGCGTTTGTAAGATGAGCTTTGAAGGTGAGTGTTCTATCAAGTGTGACACCTAGATATTTGAGGTTGTTGTTATGTTTGATAGCTGTATCATTTAGAGTTACATTGAGAGTATCGCCCGCAAGTTGATTCGACAGGTGAAAGAGACAGGTTTCAGTTTTGCTTTTTAGTTTATGTGATGCTGAAATGTATTATACCATAAATATGGAGGTTTATGAAGAATTCTAAGCGCAACATTACTCTAGATAATTGGTTCATTAATATTCCCCTAATAGATGTTTTAAAAAAATAATTTGAATAATTATAAAGAACAAAAGGGAACAGCCCCCTGAATTACTTCAAGGATCTCGTCCTCTAAAATCAAGTATGTTCGCCTTTAGCGATACATGTACCTTAGTGTCGTATATCCCCAAAAAGAAGAAAGTTGTATTGCTTGTTTCAAGTCTACATGATGACGAGGCTATAGATAGAGAAACATTTGAACATTTTAAACCAGAAATTCTGACGTTTCTTAACAAAACAAAAGGCGGGGTTGACGTCGTTGATCAGCTTTGCTCCTCTTATGACGTTTAGCGAAAAACAAGACATTGGCCCATGGTAATTTTGAACACCATACTAAATATCGCAGGCATTAATTAGCTAGTTATTCATGCAAGTAATAACCTTGCTGATAATAAAATGCTTAGAAGAAAATTTTTTAAGCATTTAGGATTTTCTCTTATGGATGAACATCTACGGGTCCGAGCAACAGTAGACAATTTAAATAGAGATCTGAAGTTACGTATTGAGGCCATATGTAATATTCCTAACACAGACGGCACTCAAACGAATGAAGGAATACATGGTAGATGCTACTTTTGCGACCGTAAAAAGAACCGGGAAACGACTGTTTTTATGCAGAGAACATACACGTGCAATATGCGAAGAGTGCCAATATAAACTTATTCGAATTAACTAAAAGTTTCCTTTTTTTTTATCGGAACAAAAAATAGTTTTTTTAATGTTCTGTCCAGTGTTTTTAATATTAGTTTACTTTTTATATTATTTTGTAATATGTTACTCTACTTATTAAACCTTAACAAAATCGTGTTTTACTTAAATTGGTTCGAAATACTTTTATTAACACAAACTAAGAAGTAAAAGACCAAACGGTCGTTTCGACCGCGCACGACTACTAATTTTCAAAAATTCCTAGCGACTACTGAAGGGTTAATGATTCTGTTATTTTTTTACCACCTTCCGCTGTTATATCTTTAGCAATTGCGGATCACAAAAATATAACTGCTCCCGGTTTTAGTGCAGTAGTCATTATCTGCTTCATCATTTATATCTTTTAAGCTGTTAAAATGTGGTTTTTTAATACTATATAACTATTAACACTAAGTCAAAAACCTTTTAATACTGATTGTTAAATAGCTTAAGCGTTTATCTAAACTATTCACGCATCATGCGAATCTCCACTTTAAAACAAAGCCGTTAAAGCGCTATTGAAAGTAGTTAATTTAGCGAAATACTCACGTCCAAGGCAAGTGTGCTTCCGGAACTGCAGGAAGCCGTCAACGCATCGACATGCACCGTCCAGACAGCTACTATTGGCCACCTTCAAAGAACACTGTTCGGGTACGAGGCAGTCGTAACCCAAGAGAGTTGCTGGAAATATAAAATATATAAATATTTATGTGACGTTTAAATAAGTATTTTTAATTTATGCAGCAAAAGCTAAGATGAAAATAATGAACTACAACATTTACAGACAATGTATGACAGATACTTAAATATGATGATGGTGATGGTGATGGTGATTAAGAAATGTGCAAAGACATGTTATAAATTAGTCAATTTAATATATTTAAAGTTTTCCTGACGTTAAGCTGAAGTTATAATATTTTTTTTATTTGTTTAAAGACAGCCGCAATAACCATATTGGTTATTAGTGGATGGATTTAATCTAAACAATAATGATTACAAATAACAAGTAAATAATATACTTATATATGGTTCAATATGTTACAACCTCTTAAGAATTTTACAATATTTTCACTGGTACATTCACAAAAAATATCTCTTATAGCTGATGAAAATATGTACATTTGTGCAATCGATTTTAAAAATGCTTTTGACAAAGTCCGACATAACAAAATGTTAGAAATATTGGCGCTGGATTGGACGAAAAAGATCTACAGATAATTACAAATCTATACTGGCATCAAGTGGAAAGAATAAAGGTTGAACAAGAATTGTCGGATGAAATAAATATAAAAAGAGGAGTGAGACAAGGCTGTATATTGTCGCCTTTACTTTTTAACTTATATTCGGAGAAAATATTTAAGGAAGCCTTAATGAAGACAACCGAAGGTATTATTGTGAATGGAGTAACCATCAACAATATTAGATATGCCGACGATACCTTAGTCCTTGCCAATTGCGGAGAAGACCTTCAAAATCTAATGACCAAAATAAAACAGACTTGTGATCAGTATGGATTAAAACTCAACGTTAAGAAAACTAAATATATGATAGTTAGCAAACAAAAATATATACAGGATGACGGTATAAAAGTCGTAGATGCCACACTGGACAGAGTAGAGAAACTCGTGTATCTCGGCCGTAATATCAATGAGAGCTGGGATCCAACCGCAGAAATTAAAAGCCGAATAGAACAAACCCGAGCTGCTTTTGTAAAAATGAGAAACGTACTGTGCAGTCACGATCTTAGCATTGACCTTAGAGTTCGTATGACATCTTGCTACATCTTTCCTGTCCTGCTGTATGGAGTGGAAGCGTGGACTATAACTGAGGCTATGCTTAAACGCTTGACAGCCTTTGAGATGTGGTTATACAGACGACTACTGAAAATAAGCTGGGTCGACAGAGTTAGAAATGAGGAGGTCCTTAGACGGCTGAGCCAAACAACACAACTGGTCAATATAATAAAGAAGCGCAAGCTGGAATACTTCGGTCACATTATGAGACACCCTGAAAAATATAATCTTTTACATCTGATCATTCAGGGAAAGATCCAAGGTAATCGTGGTCCTGGTAGACGAAGAACATCATGGCTGAAAAATCTAAGGCAATAGTATGGAAAATCAACTACATCGTTATTTAGAGCTGCTGTCAATAAAGTCACGATAGCGAATATGGTAGCCAACATGATATCCAACGATCGATAACGGTCATGGAACTAGAAGAAGAATAGCTGATGAAATTTTAGTAGTTAGTCTTTCAGCACTATATTTGGGACACTCTGTTAATGCGTGTTTCACTGTTAACGGCACGTCACAACTCATACATTTTGGTTGAGGTTTCTTCTTGTAACTGAGTCCTAATTGATTGAGTCAGTAACAATAAGGAATTTATCTGATTTGACTGTTTGTATGTGATTTAGGGCTCTGTATATTGCATACATTTCTCCAGTTATCACATTAGATTCTGTGGGCTATTTAAAACTTTTTAAATATGTAAAAGAAATAATAAATAAGACTTATTCACAATCAATTTAATTTAACTATCTAGACGACCGGTTTCGTTTTCTACAATATGCAAAGCATCTTCAGGTCTCGATACAAAGTTAATTAAATGATTCCGGTAATCTATTATTTGATGGTTGAAAGAACATGGTTCAAACTATCCTGTATTGTTGAATGGAGAACTTAAGTCTGCTAATGTAATTGTTTGACAATAAACGGGGAAGTTCTTGAGGAGATAGATTTTATCCAATGAAGTAGAGATAGGTGTAATGTGATTGTTTGTTAGATGAGAGTGATGTTCTATTTTATTGAATTATTTAAAAGTTATTTATATTTATTTAAGAGATATATTTATGAAATGAAATTTACCTGTAAAATCTAATAGATAACATAAAAACTAGTAGAGTAAACAACATTACGGCGATATCAGGCAAAAAGAGAACTTATGGACATAGGTGAGCAACTGGATAAACAACCTAAGGGAACATGAAATGCACATAAGCCACCTGGATGAGTAAACCTCAACATGGGCAACATTTCAATAAGATAAGCCAAGAATATGGCGACAATACAGCGTCGAAGTATTAGTTAACATCAGGAAAGGTGTTTCTTGAGGCAGAAGGTTTCCTAGGTTATACCAACTAAAAATTACCTAAAATATATTGTTAAACATCCTCAAGACCAAAATTACAAATGCCCATATGGATATCAAGCTCAAGAAACCATCCAACAATATAAAATGAAAACCACAAGCTACACTGGGACCGCACTGTGCGTGCAGACCAATCAGTGGAACATAGTAGACCGAACCTCATACTAGTTAATACACTTACTAGGCAAACAACAGTTATTGATGTGACATACCTAACAACAATAATTTGAGTGTTAAATATGACGAAAAAATCGTTAAGTACAGGTACCTAGAAATACAAATCATGAGACAATGGAGAATGAAAAGTATCCAGACCGTACCTATTGTTCTATCTACTACTGGTGTTATTCTCATAAACCTCCTAGAGAACGTAAAACAGCTGAGCCTAGATGAATATCTTTATAAGGCCATGCAGAAAGTTGTATTCTTCGCGACGTCCAGACGTGTACGAAAATTTTTGGGAGATGCTCCAGCGTACCAAGTCACCTAGGATTCGACAACACGGAAAGAGTCCCACTAGAGCTCAATCCTTTTGATATCGTAGGAATCTGGGATGAATAATTTTTCATCTTAGAGGGAGTGTGAGCCGTATAGATAAATTTGGATAATCTTCTTACAACTTAGCATCACTACAGTCATCTCTAATCCGGCATAAGCCAAGAAAACAAATTTGTGACAATACAAAATACGTATACCACGAATGAAATTAAAAATATCGTAAGTAATTGGTGCTTATTCCAAACTGACTAGTACAATCTACTGTGGTTCTGCCATCAAAACAATTTTTAACATGGTACCTACACTCAAAGTTTAATAATTATGAATATAGGTGAGGACTTTCGATTATAGGTGAATCCGGTTTTTTGACTCGCATTTTGCAGTCGCTTTTGCCGAATTTTTGATGGATGCAAGTTGACAATTTAAATATGCAATTGGAAGAGTTTCAGAATAGGATGTTGACTCAAGTATTGTTGAGTTAAGATTAGTAGTTAAAAATATGGAACGAAATCATTTGGAGGATGAAAATAAGTACAACCACAAAGAAGAATTTTTAAGTTTTGAAGTACATTACCACTTATGTCAACTTAACCCAATCGAGTAAAAGACTATAAAGACTTTTGAAGGAGACAAACAAATCAAAAATTAGCCAGATCGTCAGGACAAATAGACTTAGATGGTTAGGCCATCTTGCGAAAACGGCAGATAGAGAGTGGGCAAAGGACTCGCTGCTGGATGGAAAAGCAAAGAAGAGAAGAGAACAACCACGAAAACAGTAGAAACGTGTAAGGAAGACCTTTAAACCATCGGGATAACAAATTGGAAAAGTGCGGCCATGGACAAAATGAAAATGAAAAAAACAGTGAAAAATTTCCAAGCTATAAGCCTTTGGTGCCTGTCGAGCTTTATATATTATACAATATATCTGTATCGTTTAAATGCTTAACCTCATATTGAATATACCGAGTAAGCTCTACTTTTTGTATGTTTCAAAAATGGAACTTGGCTGTATTTGTTGCTAATTGAGGTTTAGCTTTTTAGTTTGTAATTATAAATGTAAAAACATTTTATATAAACTAAACGAGTTGTTCAGCTGATACTCTGAACAATCTAATTGATGACCTAAATGAGAAGCAGTTTGAATTTGCAGACATATATATTTATCCTCCAGCGGAAGATTCTGATGGAGATTCTGAATCATTGGATGAAGTAAATTTTGCTATAGCTATGCTAGCTTTACCATACAGTTAGCATATCCACTGTTTCTCGGAAACAACTACAACAAGCAATTTTTTTTTGTAATAAATTAGAAATTTCGTTGTTTTGAATTCGGACTTATAAAATGGATATACTAACTTTACAGACATCTTAGATTGATATGAGATATCCTAAAGATTTTGATGTAACGTCTACTGTACATTATGTTATTAATTTTAATCCGAAATGACTTTTGCATAACTTTAAAACGACAATTTTTCGAGATTTCTGTGAAAATAATAACTTGCAACTTCACATACGATCAAATTCTCCTTAGACACTTCCTTCTTAAAATCAACAGTAGAATATTGTGGTAATCTTAATAAAAATAAAAAAAATATAAGTAGCAATATTTGTTAATAGAAGTTTATTAATACAAAATGGGTAATATTCGTGATATGTAAATCACTTAACTTCCAAGGTAATTATAATTAATAACCGTATATTAGCGATATTCCAAAAAAGCTTCCGGTTAAATTCCTTTTAGATTGGTTCATTTTCAAGGCCACTGGTGATGCATCTGACTTTACATATCATTAATAATAATGCGCTTCTTGCAGGAAGTCAAACTATGAAGTAGTAATCTACTCTTCTATAGTTAATTAAAAGTAGGTAGAAAAATATACACACTGTTATTAAAAGAAATTTACATGAGCTCCTCTAAATAAAATATTTCACAGGTAATTAGAATAGATAGAAAATTTTAAGTTATATTGTTATTACTTAAATCAGGGGTGCTCAAAGGGTCGATCGCGATCGACAGGTCGATCGCGAGTGCTTTTT